GGAAAATACCCGAACAAAGCTGAATACCATACATATAAATACCCGCGAAAACTTAAGAAAACAAATACACACACACACACACACACAAAAGCAAAATACCATTTATGCATCATCGCAAAATCTCCAGGAATATAAAGCCTACAAACTTGAAATTTGGCACATTATGTTCCTCTTGGCTTCTAGGGTCTCACTAAGAAAGGATTTTTCAAAATGACCTCAGAGCATTTAGAGTATTTCCTTTGTTGTTGTTGTTGTTATTATTATTATTCTCTGATGCTAAGGAGTTCTACTCCCCCTCCCTACCTGGAAAAAAAAAATCTCTTCCAAATGCAAAACACAAGCTTCAGTTTCAAAACACAAGTTTCATTTTCAGAGCAGCCAGCAGCTTTAGGACAGAACAGTTGAGCTAAAGCCACGCCCAGGCTCTCCTTCTTGCTGACACAGCAAATCCTGTTTCAGTTTCCAAACAGCCCTCAACTCTCTCACACACTGGCAGGACAACTAGCCAGGTGAATGCTGATGGGTGTTGGTAGGCGGCAGAGGTAGAATTTTTTTTTTTTCTCCTTATTTCCCTCCCCGAAAACTAAGCCCGACCACAGTTTCGTAGCGAAGCACGGGGATCGAGCTAGTCAATTTCTAAAAGAGAAAGTTGAGCCGCTGTGGAGAAGAGTAGGGTTCTTCTCCCCCCCCCGCCGCCCCCTCCCCGTGCGCAAGGTCAGGGGATGACGGGAGGCGTTGCAACAGAGCCCCGCCCAAGGAGACCCACCTCCTTCTGCCTCCCCAGCCCCTGTTCAGCGGTCTCCTTGTCGGCCTGCAGCCTGCGCAGGGTCGCCGTCCGCTCGGCCTGCTGCTGGTTCCAGCCTTCCACCACTTTGGCCAGAGTCTGGTGATAAAAGGAAAGGAGAATTCATTTCAAAAGAAAACCGCGTTTCTCCATCACCTCCTGGAAAGGCCTCCGAGCCAGGGACTACGCTATCCATGCTCCCCAGATAAGCCGGGCATGTTTGGGGGTTGTGGGGGAGAGAGATGGAAGCTGGAGACTCGCGGAAGGTTTCTGGGCTAGGAAGTCGGAAAGACAGAGGAGAGGGCGTTGAGATTCTGGCACTGAGAGGCAGTTTGGTCTAGGGGTTAAAGCATCGGGCTGAGGAAAGGGGAGTCCATGAGTTCTAGTCCCGCCCCTTAGGCCTGAAAGCCTGCTGGGTGACTTTGGGCCAATCACCAGGAGACGGTGGGTTCGAGTCTCGCCTTAGGCATAAAAACTAAAGGGACTGGGGTTTGTGGAGAGGGAGGGGGGGAGGAAGAAAAGAACTGCGGTCCTCGTTGATCTCTGAGCTGAGTTGTTTTCTTGCAGACATTTCACGACCCAGCTAGGTAACATCATCAGTGCTAGCTAACCCCGCTTCCTTCCAGCACTGATGTTGTTATCAAGCTGGGCCATAAAAAGTCTGCAAGAAAGCAAAGCAGTTCAGAGAAACCACTCAGAAGGCCGCAGTCCTCCTCCCTCCTCCCCTGCCTCCCTTCCTCTCCTCCTTGCTCCTTCCCCTCCCCTTCTCCTCCACTCTGCAAACCCTTCCAGCACTGATCACACTACCTAGTTGGGTCATGAAATGTCTGCGAGAAAGCAACCCAGCTCAGAGAGCCCCAAGGACCCTCCCCCAATCCGCTAAGTAAAACCGCTGATGGAGACCCAGGTGAGGCCGCCCCTTGCACAGCCCCCTGCTGCCCCCTCACCCTCCCAACTAAGGCTCGCCTTATCCAGCTGCTCGATCATGCTGTCTTTCCTCTTGTCGGCCGAGGTGGCCACCGCCAGCTGTTGCTGCAGCTCCAGGAGGCGGTTCTGGAGGGCCTGGATGTGCCGCTCGCAGTGCTGAAAAAGGATGGGAATAGATTAGAATAGAATAACAAGAGTTGGAAGGGACCTTGGAGGTCTTCTAGTCCAACCCCCTGCGGAATGGAATGGGATAGAAGATTGGAATAAGAATAGAATAGAATAGAATAGAATAGAATAGAATAGAATAGAATAGAATAGAACATATGGAGTAGGAATAGGAATAGAATAGAATAGTTGAAAGGGACCTTGGAGGTCTTCTAGTCCAACCCCCTGCGGAATGGAATGGAATGGAATGGAATGGAATGGAATGGAATAGAATAGAATAGAATAGAATAGAATAGAATAGAATAGAACATATGGAGTAGGAATAGGAATGGGAATAGAATAGAATAGTTGAAAGGGACCTTGGAGGTCTTCTAGTCCAACCCCCTGCGGAATGGAATGGAATGGAATGGAATGGAATGGAATAGAATAGAATAGAATAGAATAGAATAGAACAAAACAGAATAGAATAGAATAGAATAGAATAGAATAGAATAGAATAGAATAAACAACGGAACAAAACTTTATTACGGTCATAGACCAGAAATAGACAAGAATCATCACTGTTTACAATAGTGTTAAAAGATGGTCCTAATAATAATAGTGGATAATAATATTCATTGGAACAGAATAGAATTAATAGAGTTGGAAGGGAGCTGGACTGGGGGCAGCAGGAGGGAGGCAGGGAGGAACTGAAGGGAGGGATGCTGCAGACCCCCCACCCAACCCCACCCCATTAATCCTCTATATACCAAGGACGCCTGTTTATATCTCTTGCCCCTACACTGAGTAGAACACGCAATGAAGGGTCTGGATTGGGAGCAGCTGACTCCAAACAGTCCTCGACTTACAACCGTTCATCCAGCGACCGTTCGAAGTGACATCGGCACTGAAAAAAGGGAACCGGGGAAAGTTTTTCACACTTTGTGACCGTTGCAGCGTCCTTCCTGCTGGTCAATTGATCAAAATTCGGACCGTACAGCAACTTACTCGTACTTATGATGGCCGCAGTGTCCTGGGGAGGGGTCACGTGATCCCCTTTTTGCGACCTTCCGACTAGTGAGGTCAACGGGGAAGCAGGATTCACTTAACGGCCGTGTGACTAATGGCAGGGATTCACCGAACAATGGGGACGAGGAAGGTCATTAAAAACTTCACTGTCTCGCTTAGCAACGCAAATGTTGGCTCCATTGTGGCTATAAATTGAGGGCTCCTTGTAATCCCTCCAAGGTGGAAATGCCTGTCTCTCCGTTTATTAGTATCTCACGTCTGATATTTTTATGAGTAACTCAAGGCGATGGATACACCTCATACTCCTTTCCTTCTCCTCCTCTTTTCTGCCTCCTTCCTTCTCCTCCTCTGCCTTTTGAGTTTGCTCACTTTGGTTAAATGATTACTGGAAGTCCTCAACTTACAACAGTTCCTTTAGTGACCAGTTACATCATCCCTGAAAAAGGTTCCCCCCCCCTCCTTTTCCTTACAAGCATTGTAGCATCATCCCCCGTAGTCCCGTGATCAAAATTCAGAGGTTTGGCAACGGACTCATGTTTATGACCGTTACAGTTTCACGTGACCCATTTTTACGACCTTCTGGGAAGCCAGCTTCATTTAATAACTGTGTGACTAACGGCTGCAGGGATTCACAGAACAGCAGAAAGACGCCGTAAAAATGGGGCAGAACTCCCTTTCCCAAGGGTTTCACTTAGCAGCGGGAATTTGGGGCTCAATCGTCGTAAGTCGAGGGGCGGGAAAACGCCGTAAATGGGGCAGAACTCCCTTTCCCAAGTGTTTCACTTAGCAGCCGGAACTCGGGGCTCCATTGTGGGTCGTAAATCGAGACCTACCTGTATCCTTGTAGGGGAGATTTTGCCCCTGTTGCAAGTGGAAACGGGCAGGTAAGGGGCAGTGAACCAGGGGGAACAAGGACCTCGGGGAAGGCGAGCAGAGGCCATTTGAGTGGATGAGCGCAGGAGCTCTGCTTAATGTCCTAAAATAAACCACCTGACCTCCCCTAAGCCAGGCCTGCCCGTGGCTGCAAGGACGGTAATGCCAAGCAATCGCTTGTCCCACTTAGAAGGCGCTCCGGGGGCAACATGGGGAGGCTGAGCCCCCCTCCCTGTCTGCAGAAACCCCCTGTAGCGGCGGTGCGGAAGGCCATCACTGCTGCGAGGACTCAGTGACCTTGAGACTCAGAGAAGAATTTCAAAGAGAAATAGGAATAGGAAAAAAAGGGGGGGGAGCTTTGCATATACTTTGCTATAGGCTGCTTTGGTAAGGCTACACTTGGCTTCCTGTATCCAGTTTTGGTCCCCCACGATACAAAAACAAGAGGTTGAGACTTTGAGAAAAAGTGCAGAGAAGAGCAACTAAGAGGATCAAAGGCGTGGAGAGTAAAACCTACGAAGAACGGTTACAGGATCTGGGTTTGGCTAATCTAGAGTAAAGAAGGAGAGTACAGGGGGTGTGAAAGCAGCGTTCCAGTATTTGAGGGGCTGCTCCGAAGTGGAGGGGGTCAAATTATTTCCCAAAGCACCTGAAGGCAGGACAAGAAACTAATCAAGGAAAGAAGCAACCTGAAATTAAGGAGAAATTCCCTGCCGTAGCATAAACCTAGACAAATGGCAGCAAATTTGGGACCGAACAAAAAGATCACGCTAGCCACATCTTACAAAGAAAATCTGTTTAAGATTTTTTTTATAGGTGGCATCTCCCACCGGCCAGGCTAGCCTAAATGTATGGTTCTCAATCACCCACATGCTGGAAATGTTTGAAAGAACAGGGTACCTATTATCACATGCGGCGGGACTGCAAGAAAATACAAGAGTTTTGGCACAAAATCCAGACATGGCTGGGAAAAACGTTGGGGTTTAAAAAATTAACTTTATACCAGAGATGTTCCTACTAGGAGTAATAAAAGAGAATTTTAGTAAAGCAGATATTTACCTAATTATTAATGTAATTACAGCAGCAAGACTATTTGGAAGTCAAAAGAAATTCCAAATGACAAAGCAATAATAGACAAGATTTTTCAGTGTGTTGAACTAAACAATTTGACATTAGAATTGAAAGTACGAGGCTTATCAGAATATTATAAAGTTATGGAACAATTTCTATATATGGAGAGATACGAAAGGAAGTCTATAAAATGAAAATTAGAATCTACGATGTAATTGAAATGCAGCACAATGAATCAGATTTAAAATGACACAAAGACTAAATGTATATATGTATATAACCGCTTATATTGCTTAATGATTTTTTCTAGTATAATAATATAAAGACTGATATATATGTCAAAGAAAGTCCACCATGTTCAAGACTTTTTAAATGTTTATTTTCAATAAAAAAAATTTTTTTAAAGGATTAACTTTCTAACGGTGAGGACAATTAACCGGTGGAACAACTTGCCACCAGAAGTAGCGTGTGCTCCATCACTGGAGTTTTTAAGAAGAGACTGGGCAGCCATTTGTCTGGAGCATCCAGAGTCTCTTCCAACTCTATTATTCTGTTCGTCTAATGAAGAGAAGGACTAGGGGGGACATGATAGCAGCATTCCAGCATTTGAGGGGCTGCCCCAAAGAAGAGGGGGTCAAATTATTTTCCAGAGTACCAGAAGGCAGGACAAGAAGCAATGGATGGAAACTAATCAAGGAGAGAAGCAACCCGGAATTAAGGAGAAACTTCCTGAACAGGGAGGACAATTAACCGGTGGAACAACTTGCCACCAGAAGTTGTGGGTGCTCCAACACTGGAGGTTTTTAAGAGATTGGACAGCCACTTGTCTGAAATGATGTAGGCTCTCCTGCTTGAGCAGAGGTCATCCAAGGTCCCTCCCAGCTCTGTTATTCTGTTACTCTAATGAAGAGAAGGATTAGGGGTGATAGCTCGAGCTAAGAATAATGTTTAAAATATCTATTTATTGGGGTGTTTGTTGTCTCGAGAGCCAAAGAACCAAATGCATGGGCACCCAATCACTGCCCTGATCCTTGCCCAAACACACACACACACACACCTGAAAAGGACCTTGGGAATGGAGTGCCAACCTTGGCAACTCTTAAGACAATTCCCAGTATTCCCCAGCCAGCCATGTCGGGTGATTCTCTTAATAGATGATGGGTATGCAGTAAGCGTAATATATCTTGTTGGTCCACGGGTCTTTAAACATGGCCAAAATTGGACACTCTGCCTTAGGGGGTTGGGTTTAGGACAAACAAGGGCGCCCCAAACTAGCATTCTCAAGCCCAGTTAGGAAGCAGCCTGGTTCAGGGCAATGTGGCCTCGCTTACCCACGATCCTTTGCAACCCCGCGGCGGTCCCTGAGTCCAACTCACTTTCCGCCGGGCCTGTTCTTTCTCCAAAGCGTCTTTTAACAAGCGGGGATCCAGCTGGGAGACTGGATCATGGAAATGACCCAGGCGCAGGCTGGTGTAGCGGGGGAAGAGATCCTCGAAGCTGGCCAGAGATCCTGGAGGGGAGACATCGTGCAGAGGACGAGCGCTAAACGAAGCCAAGAGAAGCAAATTTACCAAGGGGGAGAGAAAAAAAAAAAGCAAAGTTGCAAATAGTGGTTATTTCCTTAATGGCCGCAGCGGAAACGATATAAATTGGACATATCCCTATATTTCCCATCATTTCACTTAGTGACTGATTTGTCAGTGGTTGTTAAGGGAGGACTGCCTGTAATGCAACCTTGTAAGGATAGTCCTCAACTTACAACCGTTTAGCAACTGTTTGAAGTTACAAACGGACTTACGACCCGTTTTTCACACTTACATCCCCCCGTGGTCATGTGATCAAAATTCAGATGCTCGGCAAGTAACTCGTATTTATGACGGCTGCAGCGTCCTGGGGTCACGTGATCCCCTTTGGCGATTGTCGGACAAGCAAAGTCACCACTCGCTTAACGATGGTGTTATTAATTTAATAACTGCGGCAATTCGCTTAATAAATGTGGCAACAAAAAAAAGTCATAAAATGGAACAAAGCTCACTTAACAAATGTCTCACTTAGCAAACTAAGTTTTGGCCTCTATTATGGTCATAAGTCGAGGACTACCTGTATTGTTGCTCTGGGCTTAAAAAATGGTTCATCCCCCTTTGAGGGAACACTTCCTGCCTATTTGCCTCAAAGGTAATAAATTGAAATAAATAAAATTTTGTATTTATTTCCTTATTTATTTTGTTGTGTATATCGGAGGGGGTTGACTCTTTCGAGCTGTATTCAATGAAATTTCATTTTAACGTATGCCGATTAGCGTCCATTCGAAGTGACAATAAAGTTATTATTTGTCAGAGTGTTTGCAGCGTGACTACTATTGTGAGGCAATCCAGGAATAAAACACAGCACACAGAGGCTTTGTCTTTTAACAGTGGTTTATATACAAGACTGCTATATACATATATAGACATGGTAGGCTAGCAAGCAAGCAAGCAAGCAATCTTCAATACTCTGCATGGAAAACTACGATGGACATAAAACATGAGGACAAGAGAATGACGCCCTCTCATGGCCGCCTAGAAATAGATAGCTTCTTAAAATGGCAATAACCCTGTGGGCCCATCCTCAGCCTTAAAGTGGCGATACCCTGCTGGCCCATTGTCATTGCATCAGCATCTACAGCAGTATAATAGCAGCTGGTCAGCTCTTAAATATTCATTACCTTAACATTATTTTATTTCTATTCTTATTCTTTCTTACTCTCTGCACCACCAACTCGGCTAAAGCCGTCTTACTTGAGCAGAGCACCCGTGCTGTCACTCTCAAAGGAGTCGTCATCTTTGCGTTCCAGGGATTCTAGCGTGACTGTTGGACCCCCTGCAAGAAGAGAGCAAAGCTGAAAGGAGGCTCAGCTTTCAGGGGTACTTCTGTAGAAGCAGTGGCAGAAGCTGGGGGCGGAGTCAAAAGAGGGATCAGCTTAGAATCCCCACGTAGCCACAAGTGAACTTAAGACCAACCTCCCCTGAATTCTGTGCATCCTTATTTAACTCCTAGCAGGAATTTTAGTTGAGAAAATTCCTGCACGTAGGCTTTCAGCAATAAAGATATTTAGTTGGAAGATTCCTGCACAGAGGCTTTCAAAAATGGAGCAGTTTAATTAGAAGATTCCTGTGCAGAGGCTTTCAGCAATAAAGCAGTTTAGTTAGAAGATTCCTGCGAGTCGGCATTCGGCAATAAAGCAGTTTAGTTAGAAGATTCCTGCGCTTAGGCTTTTAGCAATAAAGCAGTTTAATTAGAAGATCCCCGTGCAAAGGCTTTCAGCAATAAAGCAGTCTAATTGGACCTTTACATGAGGCCCTGATCTTTCCCACCAGACAACTTCTACAACTCTCACCAGAGCAGGAGAGAAATGCGAGACCAAACACTTCAGGTATCCTGGACATATCACTATAGTCAGAACTGTTGTTCCTTTCCCCCAATTTTAGCATCAAACAGAACCCATCACCCTGTCTGGGGGTTGAAGTGGATCCCAGTCTGACTCATAAGATATAAAGGCACTAATCTGGGGGCTCTGTTTTGTGAAATAAAATAATCTCTCTTAGAAAAATTAGACAGCCAGTTTTGTCTAGCGGTAAAGGCACCTGGCTAAAAATTGGGAGTCATAGTCCTGCCTTAGGCATGAAAGCCAGTTAGGTGACTTTGGGCGAATAACCAGGAGATTGGGAGTTCTAGTTCTGCCTTAGGCATGAAAGCTGTCTGGGTGACTCTGTGCCAATCACCAGGAGACTGGGAGTTCTAGTCCCGCCCTTCCCACAAAAGCCAGATGGATAACTTTGGGCCAATCACCAGGCGACAGTGAGTTCTAGTCCCATCTTGGGCTCTCAGCCCAACCCATCTCACAGGGGTGTTGTGAAGAAACTAGGGGTACGAAGAAATATTCAGTATGTTCGCCACTTTTAAGCTATGTATAAAAATAATTAAGCGGGTTTCTAAATGCAATAAATAAAACATCTGTTGTAGGGTCACTATAGGAGTGGAATAAGAAAAAAGGTCTTATTTATCCCTCCGTTTCACATCCCATCCAGGCCATCCCCCTTCCCCCACTCTCACCAGGCACATCTCTGGATCCCCGCAGCATACTCTGCAGGTGGCACCGCACGTTCTCCATCTCGGAAATGTGGCGCGACTCGGCCACGGCACCCTACAAGAAACGGAGACTCGGCTTAGCCCACCGAAGCTTTCCTGAACTCTGGTGGGCGTTTGTCCTAGAAGTCTCTTTCTCACCTGCCTAAACGCCATGGCCTCCACGCTGGCGGAAAGCCGATGGCTCAGCTCTTCCGCCAGAGTGTCCATATCGACATCAGCATCCATGGCTTTCCTAGCTAGGGCCGAGCCATGCTGTCCCTCCAGCCGAGAAGAGGCCTGAGCCTCGGCCTGCCGGCTCTGGTGAAGGGAGGCGTAGAGCTGGGTGGTTACTTTGGAGGTATATGGGGTGGCCAGCTGAGAACAGGGCACCTGCTGCCCGGGGGTGGGAGGGTCCGAGGCTGGCAGCAGCTCCATGTCGCTTAAGAGGTCGTCGCTGTGGAGGGAAGAGCTTAGAGCTCTCCGGAGGCCCTTCTCAGCCATGGTCTCGGGGTCCTAAGTGAAGGGCTGGAGCCAGCACAATCATTCTGAGCTCAGAAGGCTGGCTCTTCTGTCATAATGGAGCCCCCAAACGCCAGAAGCAGGAGGCTGAAACCACTACCGGGAAAGCAGCTGGCACCTGAAAAAGAATAAAATAAAAAAAAAAGAAGTTGAAATTCAGTGCACAAAGGAAGAAAGCAAGGGGGACAAGCCCTGCCTTCCCCTAGATGTTATTTAAAATCATTGGTCAGCCCATAGACGTTCAGGTGGATTTGCTAGTTTTGTCTTCCTATCCAGTCTTGCTCAAAGATCTGGAATAGCCAGGTGTGGGTGTCTGACATCGCCTTACAATCAAGGAGGCTGTGAGTTCAAATCCCATGAGAGGCAGATTATTTTTCTTTCTGGGCACAACGAGAATATTATCTGCTAGGGGGGAAAAACTCCGCATTGGCGACAGGAACAGTATCCGGCCAGTAAAAAACGCTCAGCTCCATTCAGTCGCCCAGACTCCACCCAGATTATGGGGTCGTTAAAAGATGATGGGTTGCGGGATGTCAGCTGTTTCAAGCAAAGCTGCCTTTTGTAATTGACTAGTGGGGATTTTTGTCAATGCCGATGGTGTTCCAGCCGTGCTTCATATGTTTTGGGGATTGCATTCGAAGGCACCTATGATGCACTGGTGCTACGTTGTTTGCATCCTTTTGCCACCTTCGTTCCGCTTCTCTTTGCATTTTATGATCTTCTCCGCTTCTCTTCGGCCGACTCTTCCGCCACCTCCATTCTCCAGATGTTTTGGTTTCAATTCATATGATCACTACTTATTGCATTTATATGCCCTCTCGCTGTCCGAGGTGGCACCGAATGGCTGGCAATATTGTTAAATTAATCCGTGAGGGAGAAAAAATCACAAAAAAGTGATGTTGAGCTCAGGGAGCATGAAAAGGGGGAGCGGGATTTAAGCCCCTGACCCAGTGAGGCTTTCTCTCATTCATTTTTTTTTTTTTCTGGTTCCCTCCTCGGCCTGGTCCAGAATCAGCTAGCCAACCTTGAGAAGCTCATTTGGGGAGGGAAAGGATGGGAGACCACCAGGAAATCCCAGGGCAGCTGAGAAGACATGGGGAGCAGCGAAAGCTCCCCCCCCACCCCATATCGTGCCCTGGGCTCCAAAAAGGCTTCCTACTCACCCCTCTCCCCTCAGGACCACCCCCCCTCTTGACCCTCCTCAGCTGACCCTCTTGCCTTGGACTCCATCTCCCATCATCCCTCGCCAACTCTGCCAGGCTCCCAGGGAGGACAATGGGAGTTGGAGTCCTGCACATCTGGAGGGGGGGGATGTTCCTCCCGCAGGGGCCCCTCCCCCACATTCCTGAGGTAAAATAGGTCCCCCTCCCCAGCGCCCCCTCCCCGTCTCGTGTCCTCGCTTTGAGACCCACTCTGCTGCCCCGACAGGTTCTAGGCCGCCATCCCCGCCGCTCCGGTCCTCGACGGGGCCCCCCGCTCGGCTCTTTCGCCCCCGCGCAGCGCCGGGCAAAAGCCTCGGAGGCGGGAGCGAGGTGAAGCCGACGCCGCCATTTCCCTTGCGGGCAAATCTTCCCGCGTTACGGGCAAAGCCCTTCGACAGGAAGGTCTCGCGCGAGGGCGCGCCTGGGTCGAGAGAAAGGCGGGCCGAAAGCGGGACGGGGCCCAATCAGCGAACAGGGCCGTGGCGTCACGTAGGCGGAAGCGGAGGACGTCGGGCCTGCGGGTTGTCATAGAGACGGAAGCGGCCGCTGAGGTACATTTTTTTTGGGGGGGGGGGGGCCCTACCGGGCCCCGAAAAAACCTGAGCGGGAGGGGAGGAGTGGATGATGGGCGGCGTTATCCTCATGACGAGTGTATTGATATCCCTCTGTGTTGTGTGGGATGGCTGAGCGGGGAGGCCTCTCCCTCAGCCTGGCTCTAATTTGGGGGTGCCTTGCCCCCCGCTTTGTCTCCCCCCGCCCCAGATGACGGTGCACAACCTCTACCTCTTCGACCGCAACGGGGTCTGCCTGCACTACAGCGAGTGGAACCGCAAGAAACAGGCCGGCATTTCCAAGGAGGAGGTGAGACAACCCCCCCCCCCACGCCCCCCCCCCCCATCATGGGAGGCGGAGGGGAGAACTGCCCTCTGCACGCGCTCAGAGGCCTCGTCCAGGCTCCTTGTTGGGGCGGGGGGGGGGCGCGCAGAATTATTCTTGGGCTCCCATAATTATTGTTATTGGTGTTGTTATTCATTGCAATTGTAATATATTATTGTTTATTAATTATCGCAATTGTAATTTATTATTATATAATTTTATTATTATTTTATTTTTATTATTGTAATTGTAATTTATTATTATTCATTATCATTGCAATTAATTATTGTTATAAATAACCGCTGAAAATCAGAACAGAAGCCCAGGGTAGGTAATCTTCGGCGTAGTCCTGTCTCACTTTAACAACATAATTTTTTGGGCTCAATTGTGGTCCTAAGTCAAGGACTCCCTGTATAGGTTTTGTATAATTTTCAATATTGTTAAGCTGCCCAGAGTTACCCTTTGGCAAGACGGGCTGGCCAATACATTAAATTAAATTATTATTTTTTAATCCATATATATAAAAGCGAAATGCCATTTACGCATCATCACAAAATCTCCAGAACCATCAAGCCTACAAACTTGAAATTTGGCACATTATGTTTCTCCTGGCTTCTAGGGGCTCGCTAAGAAAGGATTTTTCGAAATGACCCTCAGAGCATTTAGAGTATTTCCTATATTATTATTATTAACACGCTCTGATGCTAAGGAGTTCTACTCCCCCTTCCCACCTGAAAAGAAATATCTTCCAAAGGCAAAACACAAGCAGAGGAGAGGAGTTTCAGTTTCACAGCAGCCAACCAGCTTTAGTCCAGAATAGTTGAGCTAAGCCACGCCCAGGCTCCTTGCTGTCTCCTTGCTCACATAGCAAATACTCTTTCACTTTCCACACAGCCCTCAAATCTTTCACACACTGACAGAACATTAGCCAGATTGCTGGTAGGCAGAGGCAGAAATTTTTCCTCCTTATTTTCCTCCCCAAAAACTAAGCCCGACCACAGAGTTTTGTAGCGAACCATGGGGATCGAGCTAGTGATTAAATAATCTGAATACAGGTTGTCCTTGATTTGCAACCATTCACTTAGTTAGAATGACACCTAAAAACCCTAATTTATGACCATTTTTCATGCTGCAGCATTCTCGTGGCCACGTGATCAAAATTCAGGCGCCTGGCAAGTGATTCGTACTTATGACTGTGGGAGCATCCCAAGGGCGACCTTCTGACAAGCAAAGCCATGGGAAAGATAGATTCACTTAAAACTGTTGTTACTCACTTCACAACTGCAGTGATTTGCTTAACGAACGTGGCCAGAAAAGTCATCAAATGGAGCCAAACCCAGTTAACAAATTTCTCACTTAGCAACAAAAATGTTTGGGGAAGGGGGTCCATTGTGATCAGGGTGGATTTGATTTAAATCACTAGTAAAAAAACGCTTGATTTAAATCAAATCAATTTAAATCATGATTTTTAAAGAGCAACTGTCATCTCTGACCTGCTGTTGACTCAACAACAGTCTCAATATTACAGAACTAGCTGGATACCGGTGCTTCTCTAGAAAACTATGTGGTGGGGCTTAGTTTTGGGGGAAGAAAATAAGGGGGGGGGGATTCTGTCTCTGCCTACCAGCATCTATCGGCATTCATCTGGCTAGCGTCCTGTCAGTGTGTGGGAGAGTGGAGGGCTGTTTGGAAACTGAAACAGTATTTGCCCTGTGAGCAAGAAGGAGACAGCAAGGAGCTGTTCTGTACTAAAGCTGCTTGGTGCTCTGAAACTGAAACTCCTCTGCTTGTGTTTTGCATTTGGAAGAGATTTCTTTCCAGGTGGGGAGGGGGAGTAGAACTCCTTAGCATCAGAGTGTGTTGTTAATAATAATAATAATAATAATAATAATAATAATAATAATAATAATAATAATAATAATAATAATAATAATAACAATAATAATAATAATAATAATGGTATAGGAAATACTCTAAATGATCTGATGGTTATTTCAGAAAATTCTTTCTTAGTGAACACATAGAAGCCAAGAGAAACATGTATGCCAAATGTCAAGTTTGTAGGCTTTATGGTCCTGGAGATTTTGTGATGATGCATGAGTCGTCTTTTGCTTTTATTATATAGAATAGAAATAGATAGAAGATAGATAGATAGATAGATAGATAGATAGATAGATAGATAGATAGATAGATAGATAGATAGATATACAAGTCATGCTACATGAAGAAAACTATCTTTAGATAGATTTTTACCCCAAAAGCATTGTATTAAAATAAATTTGATAAAAATAAAAATTAAATAAAAAATCTTGTGTTTTTTTTAAAAAAAATTAAAATCGATTTTTATCCACCCTGATTGATCGCCTGTCTTGCCACAGGGTAACTCGGGGCAGCTTAACAGTATTGAAAAGATAAAATTGTACAAAAGCTACAGGCAAGATAAATACACGTAGCCCTTCACTTAGGACCACAATTGAGCCCAAAATTGTATGTGGTTAAGTGAGACTTTGCTAAGTGAGTTTTGCCCTGTTTTACGACCTTCCTGGCCTCGATTGTTAAGTGAATCACTGCAGTTGATAAGTTAGTAAGCCGGTTGTTAAGTGAATCCGGCTACCCCCATTGAGTTTGCTAGTCACTAAAGGGGATCACATGACTTTGGGACACAGTGATGGTCATAAGTACGAGCCAGTTGCCACATAGCTGAATTTTGAGCACGTGATGCTGCAACGGTCGTAAGTCTGAAAAATGCTCACAAGTCACATTTTTCAGTCAGTGCTGTTGTAATTTTGGTCACTAAATGAACTTTTGTAAGTCGAGGACTACCTGTAAAATACTATGCAGGGAGTCCTCGACGTCCGACCACAATTGAGCCCAACATTTCTGTTGCTAAGCGCAGCATTGAAGTGGTGCTTTTGCCCCGTTTTATGACCTGTCTTGCCATAGTTAAGTGAATGTCTTGTTAAGTCAATCACACGGCCGTTAAGCGAATCCGGCTTCCCCCATTGACTTTGCTTGCCAGAAGGTCACAAAGGGAATCGCATGACCACGGGACGCTGCGCCTGTTGAGTCAGTTGCCAGCTGTCTAAATTTAACACGGCCCTGGGGATGCTACGATGGTCATAAGTGTGAAAACAGCGCACGTAACTTTTTCCAGTGCCGTTGTAACTTCGAATGGTCGCTGAATGAGTTGTTGTAAGTCAAGGACTGTAATTTTAACTTACTGTAAACCCACCTGAGGTCTTCCAGAAACCCAGTTTGCCCTTTTCTAAAGGCCAAAGGGGGTGGACCCGGTGTGACCCTATTAAAATTATATTCCAAACCAAGGAGAATTTGAACCCTCATCCTCCCCAGGCAACATGGACGGGGAGGATGGGAGTTACAGCTCCGTTACCCCTAGGAACAAAACCTCTGTGAGGTCGATGGGCAGTTTTGAAAATCTGCTAACTAAATCAATAAAAGGCCAGCCTCCCTTGGGAGATGTCCGAGCTTGATGTGGCATTTCCAAAAGCTAATTTAAGCCTCAACAAGCTGGCCCGTAGTGTTATTTCAGTTTGACCCGGGTTTAAGAGCGATGTCTTTCTGATTGGGTGGCCTCGCGCCGCTAATCTCGCCCGATAGGAATCGTTCAGAAACGTGGTTGGGTTCCAAGGGAGCAGGGCTTAGCTGTGAATGGATTAAAAAAAAAAAAAACCCCGCAAAACCCCTTAAGCTGATTGAAGGCCATGCTTACATGTGCTTTGGCAGCTGCCCCTGGCCAGGCAGAGAGGCAAGCGGGATGGGCAAGGGCTTGGATTTAGACTTCTGCTTTTAGCCAGCTATCCGAGCTGCTTTAGCTGTTGCTCTTTATCCTGCGGGTAGAGGGGAGGAGAAAAGCAGGCAGGAGTAGAATCCAGGTTTGGATAGTGGGGGTATGACCCGTGAGTCCATATCCTGCCCGCTGCAGGAATCCAAGTCAAACATCCAACATGGATTGCTGACCAACCTCTGCTGGACACATCCAGTGAAGAGAAAAGGATCCGTCGCTCCTGGGTCATCGGTTTCACCCTGGAACTGCTCTGAATTATTATGTCAGGGGAGAACAACCAGACCCACCCATCTAAGGTTCAAGCCGACTAACAGATAACAGATAATCAGAGTTGGAAGGGAACTTGTAGGTCATCTAGTCCAACCTCTGCCCAAGCGGGAGACCCTACACCATTTCTGACAGATGGCAGTCCCGTCTCTTCTTGAAAGCCTCCAGGGATGAAGCTCCCACAACTTCTGAGAGCAACTTCTGTTTCATTCGGTTGATGGTTCTCCCTGTCAGACAGTTTCTCCTTATTTCCAGGTTGAATCTCTCCTTGTTCGGTTTCCATCCATTATTCCTTGTCTGGCCTACAAGCGCTTTAGAAAATAGCTTGACCCCCTTCTTCCTCTCTGGA